GGAGTCAACATTCAGAGCGATTCAACACCGATGCAACGGGATTACCTCAAGAAATTGCGGGAAAAACTGAATGCAGTTCAGGAAAGCGGAGATACTGGCAAAACAATTAGGTTTATAAACAAAGTACCGAAAATTGTTGACGTATCAAAAAACATCCGAAAGGACAAGTAACTCTACAAATTTTTTACCAGAACGTAAGGGGTCTTAGAACCAAAGTAATTTATTTTTATCACGAGACTATTAATCTTAATTATGATGTGACAGTGTTGAGTGAGACGGGTCTTAGTCCTGATATTAAAAGTTCCGAAATTTTTGGGTCAAACTATAATGTATATCGTCATGATAGGGACTCAAGTACTAGTAATAAAGTTCGAGGAGGAGGAATACTCATCGCAGTTCATTCAAGATATCCATCACTCAACATCAATATGGACAATTCAAGATGCGAGGAAATATTTATCTCCATGTCTGTAGGAAAAAATCAAATTATTTTCGGAGGAGTTTACAATCCACCAGCATCTGATGTAAACGTTTATCTTGACCATATATCTTCCCTTGATAGTGTAAGAGATATATTTCCTAATTCTATTCTGTGTATTCTAGGCGATTATAATATGCCAAATATAGAATGGGTTCATGATAATACTAATTCACCTGCGTTAAGACCTATGTATAATAATTCTGAACTGTATAACATTGTAGTAGACTCTTTTAATTATCTCGAATTATATATATCAAGTAAATTACATTCTAAACCATAATAACAATACGTTGGATCTAGCTCTCTCAAATTCTGTAAACTTCAGTGTCCAAAGGGACAGTTATAGTATTGTTCCTGACGTGGATCGACATCATCCCCCTTGTAATGCAAAATTAATTATCCCTTCAGATCTTTGCGAAATCGAATCTCCACCATTATATAAATTTATCTTTAAAAATACACCTTACGATTCTATTAATGATTATTTTGGTTCCCTAGACTGGAACGCCCTTCTGAGTACAACGGATGCTGAAACAAATTTTTATAATAATTTTTATGATGCGATAAGTACGCCTGCTCTACTTTTATTAGTAAATCTATGATAAAAAATAACAATTTCCCAACCTGGTTTTCTAAAGCTACAAAAATGCTCGTGAAGAAGAAAAATAAGATGTACGCTAGATTTAGACACACGCATAACGCAGAACACTTTACCAAGTTCAAACATCTTCGTTCTCTTGTAAAAAAATACATTAAAGCTGACTACGCAACATTAATATCAACAACGGAAGAAAACATTAACGTCAAGAGTAATAATTTTTGGAAATTTTTTAAATCAGTTAATAACTCAGTTTCTGTTCCTAATTTTGTAACCTACAATAATGTAAGCTCTAATGATCCCCAGCAAATCTGTAACTTGTTTGCAGATTTTTTTGAGGAGGTTTATGTACAACATTTCCAAACACCAAGTGATAATACCCGCAATTCGACAAAGAATTATTCTGAAATTCTCCAAGTGATTAACAATCTTGAAATAAATTTTGATGCTGTTTTCCAAAAACTTGTCTCTTTAAAAAATAATTTCAATCCGGGACCTGATGGAATACCAGCTTACTTTTTGAAAATGTGTAGCCCATCTCTTACTCTACCTATAAGAATCCTTTTTAAGCAATCATTAAGGTCGGGTTTGTGCCCAGTCCGTTGGAAGTCATCGTTTATCGTACCAATTCACAAATCGGGATCAAAAACTGATGTTAAAAATGATCGTCCAGTTTGTATTATTTCATCATTATGTAAGGTTCTTGAATCCATTATAGCTGATAAACTTCTAGATACTTACTATAATATCCTTTCCACTAAACAGCATTGTTTTATGCCTAAGCGCAGTAGACTGACAAATCTCTCAATTTATAGTAATTATATCTCAAACTCATTAGAAAGAGGTTACCAGGTGGACTCCATTTATACGGATTTTAGTAAGGCCTTCGATCGCGTTGATATAAATCTTTTGTTAATCAAACTTAAGCACTATGGTATTGTAGGTAATTTACTTTCATGGCTTTCCTCTTACCTAAATGGCAGAACGGAGACCGTTCGTATCAGTGGACTGTTTTCTCATGAAATAAAAGCAACATCCGGTGTTCCTCAGGGTAGCCACTTGGGCCCTATTCTTTTTCTGCTTTTCGTTAATGACATAACTCACAGTTTTAAGTATTGCCAATTCTTACTCTTTGCCGACGATCTGAAACTCTAATGGAAGTTCGCTCAGAGCTAGATGTTCTTAAAATTCAATTTGACTTAGATTCGTTTTCAAATTGGTGTGATATAAACAACTTACGAATTAATTATGATAAATGTAAAATTATTACGTTCCATAAATGCAAGAATCCGATAAGTGCCCGATACTGTTTATGTGATAATGAGATATTGAGAGTTGAAACGGTTAAGGATCTTGGTGTAGTGTTTGACAAATCTTATACGTTCGAGTACCACATAGAAAGTATTCTCAATAAAGCTATGAGAATGTGTGGATTTGTTAAACGTCAATGCAAAGATTTTAAAAATATACCGGTCGTAATTAAGTTGTACTGTGCATTTGTGAGATCGTCACTCGAATATTGCGGTCTTGTGTGGGATCCTTATTATTCGTGTTCAAATATGCGGCTAGAGAGAGTGCAAAGGAAGTTTGTCAATTTTTTACTTTTTAAACTCAACATAGACAAAAATTTGTACACCTATGAAGAACGGCTCGAGTTAGTGGGTCTAAAATAATCTAATTCATTCTTCTGAAATATTAAGTTCGTTTCGAATAAGAGTACCTAACCATCTTATCCGGGATCCTATACTATTTGAAATCGACTCACACCGGACTAACTACGGAATCCACAGTCCTTTTACTAGAGTGGCACGTGCTTTAAATTCTTTACCATCGGCCATCGACATCTTTAACATTTCATTAAATAGGTTTAAACGGGAGCTTAGGTATTAATTTAGGTTAAGTAATAAGAGTGTGTATTTTTGGTTAAATATTTTTTCTAGATATTTGTACGTTATGTATGTAGATAGTTATTTTCAGTTGGACGTTTGTTAGATGTTGTGTTTTTCAAATTTCTAAAATTGCCTGTATGGTGTAAACTGTTTTTTTGGCAATAAACTAAACTAAACTAAACTAAATATTTGTATCCAAATGGGCATTTCTCCTTAAGAGAAACACAGAATATCAGGTAATAGTGTGTAGATAATATGCACTGTAGTTGGCGGAAACGCTGCGAAATTATCCTAATTACGTGTGAAAAATTATAAACGTATTAGTGAAAAATGATGTGTAGAGGTGGGCGCAAGCTCGTCAAGAAATAATCCGCGTCGAGTCTTTGAATGCATGATCCACCTATTAACGTCATAACGCAATTTCGAGGTGTTGTGCCAATTCATCACAATCCCATTATGACGGGCAACCGACCCGAGAAGTAAACGGCCCAAAAATAAATAATCTCGATCGAGTACCGAGCTGGGTCGGCTTGGGCGCACGTCACAAATCTTAATACGTGCATTAATATGTCACCAGAAACGCGAAATCAATTTATTTTCACCTTTCAGAACTAAAATCGTATTATCATTTCGAGTTCTAGTGGGGAATTTATCATGCAAATGAATGCGCGTGACGTACACGCTGTTAGAATTATGTTGGTATAGGTGGATGGTGAATGTGTACCGTCATAATATACGTCTCTGTAATGAATTTAGAACGCGACGGGAGAATTGGATTCACGGCAAAAATAGGGCTTTGTTAGAAACGCCTTCGGACATTATGTTAACGAGAACTTGAATTTTCAAAAATTGAGAACTGGGAATGTAATAAACTCGCGGCTAAATGTTTCGCATCTGCAATATGCAAATTAATAGTTCCAGATGAATGTGTTTTCTCTGTTATCGACTTTGTAAAAAAAGTATTATTGCTTCAACTATCAGGTACCGAAGTATATTTGACATAAACACTCGCCGTAAGAAAAAAACATTTAGTTATTAGTTTATTAGTTATCTTAAAAATTATAAAACTTAACATTTAAAATATAAAAAAACAGGAATTGGGGGTGCCCATAAATGAAGTCTTGGAAAAACCCGTCCGCATTACTAGACAACGTCGGTATTTACTTGCATACCAACTGCCAATAACCAACTGTATTAAAATTGTATCAAAGTTAAGATTTTGACCAATTACCACGAAAAATGCAGCAAAAATTTTAAAATATGCTATAAATGCAAAAAAATAGTTAAGTGTGCAGAATATGTAAAAATATGCATTTTGCATATTATCCGAGCCTTAGTGATGACGGAGTTATTTGTCAAAATCAATTTTATAATAGTTTCCTACCATTTTTACAAAGTCTGTTGCTCAAGTTGTCAAATCTAATTTAAATTTTTTTGCGTGTCAAGAAAATTTTTGTGTATACTTTTTTTTGTTTTGATTGACACTTCCGACAATTTTTATATAAATTTCACTGTAATGTACTCCTATTATATTTTTAGTGAATAAGACTGCTGTATGTATTCAAAAGAAGGACTGACTGTACACTAAACCACTAGTTTTTCACTAATACGTTTATAATTTTTCACACATAATTAGGATAATTTCGTCTCGTTTCCGCCAGCCACAATACACGGCATTGACAATGTTGTATTTTACTAGAAAAATGATAAAGCGCGAAAATTGCTCCAATTACGCGATGCTACTTGAAAACATGACAATAATGCAAAAATAAATAAATAATTATACACAACACGTATAATGGAGCAATGTCAGCGTAAAAAATTCCGATTCGTATTGCGATCAACAAAACCATCCTATTTTTTTAAGCGACGCGACAATGCCTCTTCTACAATACAATATTGTCAATTGAACAAAGAGATTTAAATCAATGTTTACACAGCGTTAAACATGCCCTGCATCCTTTCAAACGCTCAGTTTGTGCCAAACACATAAACATCGACCATGTCGGATGGTGAAAACGGCGTTCATATCAAGAGACCGATGAATGCCTTCATGGTGTGGTCCAGGATAAGACGCAAACACATCTCGAACGACTACCCGAGGTTGCATAATTCGGAAATATCGAAACTGTTGGGGGCAGAGTGGAAGGTGCTTCCGGAAGCTGAGAAAAGACCGTTTATTGATGAGGCGAAAAGACTGAGGAACCAGCACATGGTTGACCATCCGGATTACAAGTACAGGCCAAGGAGGAAGCCTAAAGTTGAAGGAAAGGATAGTAGGCTGCTTGCACCTAGGTTGCACCAAATGTCTGATCCTTTGCAGCAGGCGTTTAGTAAAGCGTTCTACAATCAAAACATCTTAAGTGGTAAGAAATGTTTCTCAAAAGATTAAGGAGTCGCATTCAGAAAAAAACGTACTTTTGTAAAAGTTGTTCTGCAGTGCATACTAATAGAGGGTTAATAAGTAGTTTATAGTTCATCAGACAGGCAGTGTGTTTTTTTATCCAATTCCTGATTATTTTTGCGTTATTGCTTCGGATTTAATTTTTTCAAAAAGTCTATTGTTCAGAATGAATACAATCTAATAATACGGTTGGTTACACAGTTAACAACTATGTGCAAACGATCAATTAATGCTGCTGTACATAAACCCTTTTTCCGTTTTGTTCATGTTGCTTGTTGGTAACCGAGTCAAAATGTGCGTTATTTTAGTATATTTTAATAAAAATGTGTATAGCATCATTTTTTCCATTTTTTTCAGGTGGTAAATTTTATTTGGTGAAGTAACTAATGTAGGTATTAACAAAATGTTTAAGTCAATGCAATATTTTTTAATTTGAATGCATTAGTTATGTACTAGAAGGTCCCAGAAAGTACTTTTCACTGTATCTCATTTCCAACAAAAAAATCGATAATGTATCTGGTACGATTTCTAAAGTTCTGTAAACGGAAAACAGTGGTGGAAAGCGTGTTCCGAAATTGGCATAAATAATTCAGATATTCATTTTTAAAAATACGCGACGTAAAAATTTCAACAAATTAAACAAAATATGATCATAAACTTAAAAAAATCCTCGTATTATATAGGAAAGTTGTAGACATCTTCTATTTTAAATTAATAAGAATCAGTATGGAGATATTACATTTTGAAAATGTTTAACAACGTCATAAGAGTCATAAAATTTAAAGGGATAAGTGAAACTCCGCCCATGAAAATTTTAATGTGTTTAATTTACCTCTATTTTAACTGGGGAGAATGATAACTTTTTGAAGATATAATCCTTCGTGGTTAACCTTCTTAAAATGATCACTATAAGTCCTGCTTATTTGAAACTTAGTTTCTTAATTCCAGTAAATAATACAATTTTTAAATAAAAAATAATTTAATATTAACGCATCGTGAATGATTACCTAAACTCTAGAAATATTTGATAGGTACAATTACGTGAAGTATACAAAACACAAAAAATTAATCAAATATTTTGATTTGTAAGCTGTTATAATTTTGTGTTTTTCAGCAAAACCTAACCTTAAAAAGAAGCCCAAAACTGCAAAGAATTCCCATTTATACTAAAGCTATATTTGTCTTAAGAAAAAAAATATCTTGAGAATTAAAATTCTTTACTTAGTATTAAAAAATTGGTCGAAGATTATTTCGTTGAACTTCTCTGGCTATGGGAATTTTATATTTTTTTATAAAAACTCTTATAAGTTAAAATAAAAATATATATGTAACGTTAAAGTAAATGTAAAGAACCGTGCGGGCGTATGTTCCAAGATGACGTCATTTTTTAGGAGGGATAAACAAATAAGTTAAGCTTAATGATTTACCATGATTAGGATAACCTTAAAATATTTACAAGATTTCAGAGCAATCGGTTTTGCAGTTTCAAAGCTATATTGCAAAATATTATTATTTAATTCTGAATTTTTTACAAAAATTCTGGATGTGTAGGGTGAAAATTCGATACGGATTCACACACCAGAAGTGAACGAGTATCTTATTTTATAAAATAAAAACATCCTATTCTTGGAAGTAGGAATGATTAGCCAAATTTTAGTTAGCATTTAAGCATCTACATGAATTCCTAATATACATACAAAATGTGACAACGATCGGTCCAGTAGTTTCGGAGATTACTTGTCTAATATAAATGGATACAGACAGCAGACAGACAGACAGACAGACAGACAGACAGACAGACAGACAGATAGACAGACAGACAGACAGACGCAAACGGGGGACCACTTTTTCGTACTCTAGCGGTCATGACACGTGGAGAAAATATGGAAGTGGCAATTCGGCCTATGGACTCTATTACTATACTTCCTTAGCTTACGCTCGGGAAGTAAAAATTGGTCTAAGCTTATTTAGACCGAACTTCCTTCGTCCTAGAAGCACAATCTAAGTTTATTCATTCATTTAGGAAAATTCTAAAATTTATTTCTGCAAATGTAGTTTCTTCGAAAAATTATAAAATTTAATTTTGTGAATTTACTTTTTTTAATGATAACCCCTATAAGAAAAAATAACGATATGTGGACTGTTTAAGTCCGGTATCCACATGTGTCAACTAAGTTTTTCCATTACAAAATTTTGTGATGACATCATCGACATTTTGGCAAGGACACATGTATCAATTTGAATAGATGTAATGTAGTACTATAGGTACTTAATAATATCAGAAACAGTAAAAATAATGGAAATACGGCGGTATCGTTATCTAACACGTTATCTTTCATTTAAAAGTTAAAGCTCCACTCACATATGTACGAATCCCGTTTGTAGAATTTCGTTTTATGTAGGTATCTAAAGAAGTAGAAAAATAGACAATAAAGACTATAATAAGTAATAAGAAACAAAATCAAAGTGGATTCATAAACTGCAAGTACAATAATATATTATTTTATAAAATTTAATTACCTGATGTCATCAAATTGGTGAGGGTGATTAACAGACGACAGACGGATAACAAACAGACGCAGGCAGACGAAAACGGAAGACCTAGTTTTATTTCCCGAGCGTAAGCTAAGGAAGTATTGAAATCGAGTTTATAGTCCGATTCTTGTGTTCTCGACCTTTCATTATTCCTAGAGGACGAAGAAATAGGTGTCCTGTTTCCGTCTGTCTGTCTGTCTGTCTGTCTGTCCGCCGTCTGTATCAATTGTTATTATACAGATAATCTCTGAAACTACCCGACCGATTGTTATCAAATTTTATACCTGTATATGGTAAAACGCTAACCAAACTTTGTCTAATCATGGCCACCAATAATGTAATGACTAATGATCTTAGCTCAAAATTGTACATAGTAAATGGGTCTTAAATTGAAATAACATAGTTTTAAACGTGCAGTTTATGAATCGGTGTTGAGTTTTTACCAGAGACAAATTTTTGAGAAAAAAGTCAAAATATTATAACAACATTTTGTAATTTAATTTTGAATCTGCAAAACCTAATACTTCGAAATCTTGTAGACGTGTCAAAGGTATCGTGGCACAGTAAATTCTTAATCAAAATATATGTATTTGTTTGACGTCATCTCAAAATTTTTCCGAATAAATCCTAATTAAAATGTGCGAAATATGATGAGTCTATTTATTGTTGCATTCATGTTTCTTAGAAGTGTTTATACAGGGTAACTGAAAAAAGTTAATGAATGAGTCAGTTTATTTTATTGATTAAATCAGGAACGGCTCCAGAAAATTTGTGAATACAGTACTGTTATTTTTAGTATTACACTGCACTCATCTAACCTGATATACCTGTCCTTGCCAAAATTACAATTTTTCGAAAAAGCTGGGTATGTTTCATTGTACTTCAGGGGCGAGGGAAGTTTTGTCGAAATAACTTTCGACTAAATTTTCATACTCTAGGGATCATAAAACGCTTAGAAACCACAAAACTTACCGTCGGCAAGTAAAAAACGCAGCTAAAAAACCCGCAATCCTTAGACATTTATAAATTCATGTATATATTTAATATGAAAAATTGGTCTAAAGAGTTTAGACAGTACTTCCCTCGCTGGCGGAAACGTGACGACTGCATGCCTATTTTTTTTTCGCAGTAGATTTCAAAGCATTCGGTTTTGTAGTTCCTGAATAAACCAATAAAATAAATTTACGCATTCATTATTTTTTTGAGTCACCCGGTATATGCAAATTCAAAAATATGAATGGAATGATAAATTACTAGTACAGACTCATCATATTTTATATATTCTAGATACGATTTATTCGGCAAACTTTTGAGCTGGCGTCATCAGTTTTTTGGAGAAGATAACCAAATATATTTTGACAAAAAATTTATTATGCCCTTTATAACCTTAAAACATCTGCAAGATTTCAAAACATTCGGGGCTGTAGTTCCTGATTAAATCAATAAAATACATTTACGCATTCATTAATTTTTTTGGGTCACCCTGTATATGCAAATCCAAAAAATATGAATGGAATGATAAATCACAAGAAGAGACTCATCATATTTTATACATTTTAGATAGGATTTATTCAGCCAAATTTTGTGGTGACGTCATAAATTTTTTAGAGGGATGAGCAAATACATTTTGATCAAAAACTTACCATGCTTATGATAACCTTAACATATCTTTAAGATTTCAAAGCATTCGGTTTTGTAGTTCCTGAGTAAATCAATAAAATAAATTTACGCATTCATTAATTTTTTTGAGTCACCCTGTATATGCAAATTCAAAAAATATGAATTGAGTGATACATCACAAGTACAGACTCATCATATATTGTACATTTTAGATAGGAGTTATTCGGCGAACTTTTGAGCTTACGTCATCAAGTTTTTGGAGGGGATAACCAAATATATTTTGACTAAAGATTTATGATGCTCTTTATAGCCTTAAAACATCTGCAACATTTCAAAACATTCGGGATAGCAGATTCAAAATTAAATTGCAAAATGATGTTTTATAATTTTGTTTTTTTTTCCAAAAATCTGGACGTTTCGGGTAAAAACTCAATTTGGAGTCGTAAACTACATGTGTAGGAATATGTTATTTTATACCATTTAAAACCCATTTACTATGTACAATTTTGAAGTGACGTCATCGCATTAGTGGTGGGGATGATTAGACAAATTTTGGTTAGCGTTTTACCATCTACATGATATTCCTAATATAAGTAGGTACAAAATTTCACAACAATCGGTCCAGTATTATCGGAGATCATCTGTCTAATAAAAATCCGGGACGGCAGACAGACGGACAGACGGACAGACGGATAGACGGACAGACGGACAGACGGACAGACGGACAGACGGACAGACGGACAGACGGACAGACGGATAGACGGACAGACGGACAGACGGACAGACAGACGGAAATGGCAGACCTATTTCTTCGTCTTCTAGGGGTCATGCATGATCGAGAAAACGTAAAAGTAGACAGTCGGCCGATGGACTCGATTACAATACTTCCTTTGCTTACGCTCGGGAAGTAAAAATTGAAACAATCACAATCAAGTGAGTTACAACAGTTAAGTGAATTATTTTTATAAATAAAAACATTATCGTATACTCAGAATTTCGGAAAAGTTAGGTAAATCGATTTAGGCCATGAACTAAATCACTATACTTATTCACTTATTATTTTAGACATACTGTATAAACAAGTCTATAAAATGTGTTTGCGTTATTAAACTACAAATAGAGGAGCATATTATACTATAAATTTCAAACGAGATTTATTTAAAAAAAAATTGAAATAACGTAATCAAATTTTTTAATGAATGCTTATTAGCGATGTACACTTATCTCTACCACATTTTTAGTAAAGATAGTAATACAAATTTTGATTTCTGTTTTACTGTTTAATTGATCGTCCGTCTCATAAAATCGGCAATAAAAGACAGACGACAAAAAACAGAGATGCCAAGAACGGACTACAGACAGATGGGAATGGAGGTCGTACTTTTTCCTATTCTAGGTGCTCTAAAACGAAAAAAACGGTTTACATATTAGCATCTAAGTCATTACTGTTTTAATATTTCAGAGTTTAACATTAGATGAAAATCCAAAAAAAAAAAAAATTAGGTTATAGAAAGTATTTAATTGAGACAATCTAGCAAACAAATCACTTTTCTTAGTCACTGAAATTAAAGGTAACTCCTCATTTTATTATTATACGGAGACTACACTAAAAATTTGGATGGTTTGATTTCCAAAATACGGGTGAATTGGTCGTAGTACCTGTATTACTTCATTATTAATAAAGCTTGCCTAATAGAAACTCGTTTTTATTCAGTTTTACAGGGTGTTTTCTATGCAGCAAAAATTCCTTCCTTTATTTTAAGATTTTTTTATACTATAAAAATACTTTGTTTAGAAGATACGGGACTATAAAAGTAAAATAAAACTACTCGATTCCCAGAATTAAATCTCTTGGAGATATATTTATAGGGCCATTTGAAAACATTACTGTGCACTACACCGTTAGAAAATAGAGAATATTTGAAAAATCGAGTAATTGAAGGATGCAGAGGAAAACAAACAACCCTGGTATTTTTTAAAAAGTTTGGCTGTCAATAAAGAGAAAATTGAATGCATACAAACGGTGATAGCCATTTTCAGCAATTTTTGTAGCGCCCTGTATCTTCAAAACATATAATTCAAAGATCTATCAAAATGGACAAAAATTTTACTAAAAATTATTTTAAAACGTTTCACATTAGGCAGGTTTAGTAGAAGGTTTCTACTTTTAATAATCAATAAATTGCATTAGGTTACCAAACACCATTTTACAAAAAAAGTTTTCTTAATATTCATACTCCATTTTTGTAGATGAAATATTCACTTCGAAAAAAAAAATTACAGTTCCAGAGGATATATGCCAGATGATTAATATTTCTAAGAATTCTGGTAAAAACTTCTGAAGAAACATTAAAAGCTGACGCTCTCCCACTTTCACTTTTTTTTATGTTATTTTTCTCTATAATATTAATCTTCCACTTACCAATTATAAAGGTTATTTTTATAATTACAGAGGGCGAATCTTCGGTAATAACACTTAACACCCCTCAAGTGGTCGAGCAGAAACCGAATTTTGCCTTGAGAACCCTATCAGAATTTGACCCAAACTACCAACCGTCTATCACATTTCCAACGATGGACATAGCTTCAGAACCCATGAATGTGCGTTTATCTTATCCAACCTACACCGGAAGATCCCAAGAACTGGAGAAACAAAACTTTCAACCATCTTTGCCGCCATACACCACCCTAGCAGAAAGCGTTCACCATCGAGCCCTTCTTAGAGCAGCCTCAATTTACGCTTATCACGACCTAGCTACAAATTCCGTTCCTGTTTATTTTCCACCCTTGTAACAAGCCTGCGTATGTTTTTTAAATAAAACGAAATGCCATTAGTGACTTGGTGTGCTTTACACTGCAGTGATAATTAGTTCGATTATTTTCCGAATGCAAAGGGGGACTGAGCTGGAAACAATGGTAGAAAAATGTTGGTGTTGAACAAAGCTTTAATTAACAAAACCCATTACACATCGCGATAATTAAAAAAGTCACCGGCAGACGTAAACAGGAGTATTGTGATCGGTTTATCTCGTCTAGATGGGTATTATATGGGGTGTCACGTGTCTGTTGGGGCGTGATAAGAAAATTCCCCGGAGACTCGGTTCCTGCTGCATATTAAACCTATTTGTGTTGGAGGGAATCGATCGCCACCTAGGTGTGGAAGACTGCATTAGCTGGAGTTTGTTGTTCCTGGAATTGATGGGGAAGATGTCCCGCCAATCGTGTTAATTATTATTTGTCTGTATTCTTTTGAATAGATAATAAATAACATTGTATTTATTTTTCCTATCGTAGATTATCTTGTAGTGTAGGTATGCGACAATTACAAATTTTGGACAGAACAAGGCTGTATTAAATTTATTCTGATGAAATTAGTTGTAACTTCAGTTTGAGTTAGAAGAAAGAAAGGTGTTTCGACCCTATCCAAAAACTCTCTTTGTAACCAAAGCATAACTAGATTTTTCTCTTTTTAAACCGTTTTCTTCGTATCAACATGTAAATACTTTTAGTTTTAAAATCAGTAAAAGTAAAATTTGTCTCTTTCTTGGAAAGCGTTCTATTCAACTACATACATTGGAAAATTTAAAAATTGTTTAGAATAATCCTGAGGCAAATTTTTGAACTTTTTTAAACTATCTGTCTAATCTAAGTGGACATTTTGTTTTCGTAAGTGAACGCCAAATTGACGTATAACAACAATAAACATTTTTTAGTGATTTTTCTCGAAACTAGAAAACGTGTTTGCACGGATCTTAAAAAACTCCGGGAGTTCCACGAACTGTAGCGGTTTCCCCCTCCACTCGTTGTTGAAGCTCTTAGATAATTTCTGGATGCTGTTGATTTTCATAAACTAACTGTGTACTATATCAAAGCAACGTAGAACTTTTTTCTTGAGAGTTGAGATTTAAGTTCTCAGTTCTTCAACTTATTTGCCTTCTTAATTTTAGCATTGTCCATTTTTTCCTTCTAACCTGACTTATTGTCTTGACTTTCATCAGGACTTCCTTCGATTTCCTTTAGTATGCGTGTTTTTCTTTTCGGCAAACCTATCACATTAAGGAAAAAATGTTTACTCTTTGTTTGTCAAAGTCAAAATATTAACAACTACTCCACTACGTAAGTAAGTACATATCGAAAACCGCATTAGCTCGGTTTGTTCGTGGAATCGATGGGAAGATCTCCCGCTGATTGTGCGAATGCGCCTTTACTCGTTTGTATTCTTTTACGTTGGCATATTACGAATTGCCAGCACACAAAACCGACAACTAAGTTATTAACTAGAATATATGCAACAATGCAATTCTGTAATGAATACCGTGTATTCACCGTGCACCTGCGATACTCTAAATTGGTAATTAGCGAGTGAAGTCGGTGTGAAATCCGCCGCAGTTCTCACAGTCGAATGGACAATAATATAATCACGATGTGGATGGGGGCGACAACGCGAATAGGTATAAGCTGGCGATGACGAGGTTTCCGTTGGAGCTTTTTCTTGACAAAAAGGTGACAGAAAATGTGACGAAGTTGGATGAACTAATACCCTAACAATTTAGCTAGTGCATACACTTCTATAATGAAGTACGTAAAATGTGAATTTATCTTGCTATTTTGTTGGAGAACAATCTAGATCTACAACAAAGGGCAAAAAGTTGATATGTTTTCAAAAATTTTAGAATACATAGAGAGTCTCTTTTGAAAAAAATAGTTTCAACGACTTAAAGTCTACAATGAAATTTATGTAAATAAGTACAAATACATATCGGGTGTCTAATTAAAAAACTGGTCAAGAGGGCCGCTTCTTATTTTAATTTTTTTTGTCGTATGTCGTAGTGTTTGTCATTGTGTTCCAGTCGATGTGACAATCACATGAATGGTTTCAAAATTCGTTTCAGAAACGACATACGGAAAATAACAAAAGATTTTGGTCAGATTTTTATTTAGACACTCGATATATGATTTAGACGACGTAAAACATGTTCTTTTAAAACTATTATGTGCTAAGTATATAACAGTATGCCTTGCTACTTAGATTTTATTACATTAATTTTTCCTGTCCCTTGTGTATGAAGTTATGAACTTGTTTCATCTACTGTCGATTTCTGTCTGACAATGTCTACAACTGTGCTTGTTCACTGATCCAAGGATTTCAGCAAAAAGTTGATTATCACAAAACAGGAGACTGTTGATGAAGTTAGAATAGTAGTTTATCATGTTCATCATCGATTCTAAAAATTCCCTTTTATAATCAAATCGTCTTCATTCAATTTTTGTAGCGGGTTGTTTTGTAGGGTTGATATTTCCGCGTTTCAAGATTTCCAGATTCTCTACTCATCATGTGATTAGTCGACTGCAGTACCAAAATTTTTCGATTTTAATACGACACTAAAGCACTTTGGTTCACATTTTAGTTCATTTGTGAAGTAGGTAAGTACTGCAATAAATTGATGCTTGCTATTTTTATCAAATAAGTTTTAATTTTTTAAACTCAGTTAGACTTGTGCGCATTTAGAATGTACTAGCCCCGCCCACCCGCCCTCTGTTTTCTTAGAGGGTATATTATTTGCCAAAATCAGTCTTATTTTAGCAAGTACTAATACCGCCCACCCGCCCTTTATTTTCTTAGATGGTTTGTCATAAGCCAAAATTAGTTTTATCTTAGCCTGTACTGTATCTGTGAAATCGTCGATTACGTGTGAGCATGAATTTCATTAAAAATATGTCATTCGTTCCCTAGCACCAAATCCTACTAATCATTAACTAGAGAAAATAAAGTTTCTTCGGTTTTAGAAAAAAGTGATTCCCTTATGTCATGAATTACACACCGATTTCAGTTTTGTCTAATCTCTCGAAAATCTTTGAATCTATCTTCTTTATGTAGATTTTTTATACACTGGTTAATCATCTCTCCGCACCAACATGGTTTCATAAAGAAACAATTTAGCCACTTTTTCACAGTTTGTCACAAAAACACGTAATGTAGAGGGACAGGTTGATGTAATAAGGTATATACAAATATTAGACAAGATTTTGATCAAATTGATTGTTCCGTTCTTATTAAGAAGCTAAAAGTTTTTGGTTTTTCTACTTCTTTGTGTAACTTGATACTTTTCTATTTACGTAATCGGGAACATGTAAACGTTCATCGTTAGGATAGAACTTTACAATATACTGCAACCTCTAGGGTATCACAAGAGTCCAATCAAGGTCCCTTATTGTTTTTACTTTTTATAAATGAAACTATATATAAACTATATTGTGACACACTATTTTACGATGGCGATTTAAAATTGTTTAGTGGAATTAACAACTCCAAAAGTTGCTTGTTCTTGAAATATAATTTAGATAAATATTACACAAAAAAAGTCTGGAAAAATCAGTATCCTACCTATCTAAATATCAGCAAGCCTAAAGGGGTTTTCTAAAATTCTTATTTTTTTCGCAACAAGGTTATTTATCCGCCAAGAAACTTCGAGCATTCCATCTCTTTAAACCTATTTGCAGTATAGTCTCTAGAAGCAAGGAGATTGGTTCTGTCCATTGCATTTTTAACTACATGTGCTACAGCTTCTAGCGCAAGTAGTGACCTATTACTGCTGGAAAGTTGAAGGAAATTATTAAATCTCAAAAAAGAATTAGTTTTTATTACCAAAACACTGGTGGCTTAAGGTCTAAATTAAAGGATGTCGCAATTGAGGTTAACTCTTGTGTTTATGACGTTATTATTATTTCCTTGGCTTAGTGATAACATTACTCGTTCCGAATTAAATTTAAACTATAATATAATTTGTCTGAGAATATTTAGCAGGTACTCATAAAATAATGGTCATTTCCGTTCATGAGTAACGATGGTCCCTGTCCGGACTTGGATTATTCTGCTTTCTAACATCTGGGAATTACCGCGACGCGACAACTTGAGTTGTAAATATCTCTTGCTATTGTACTAGTGTCCGTCTCGTTATTGCCAATACAATTTTACAGAGTACAATGAAATTTCCAAAACTATAAATGACACAGATCTAAAGATTAGTTTATCTAATATTTTTGATGAAATTTCAAAACTGAAATCTTCGTGTAAGTACTCCAAGTATTCTTATAAAAAACTGTAAGTTTGCTCTTTGTTCAAAATTGCTTATAGTTGTTTGCAACATTTTTGAGGAATGGTATTTTCTCTAAAATATGGAATGACAGCTACGTTATTCCAATTTTTACATCTGGTAAACGTAACATAGTTGAAAATTACAGAGGTGTATGTTGTCAATCAGCAGTTCCAAAATTACTTGATTCCATTGTAACTAGTCAACTTCAATGGGCTTCGTCTTCAATTATCTCATCTAAACAACATGGTTTCGTCACTAACAGGTTTACACTGTCGAGTCTTCTTGAATATGGATAATTTCTAAACGAAGCATTTACTAAAAATTGACAAGTCAATTCAGTGTACACTGATTTCGCAAAAGCGTTCGATCGCGTTTATCACAGATTATTTATTACTTTTAAAGTTGGATAAACTTAGTTTCAAAGATAACACTATTAAGTGCTTAACATCTTTTCTGTCAGGCTGGTGCCAACAAGTTCCTATTGGTTACTTTATGTCATCGTCTTTCTATGTTTCATCTGGTGTTCCGCAAGGTAACCGTTGCGGACCCGTTCTATTTCTATTATTCATAAACAGTGTTGGGCAGTATCTAGATACTTGTATCTAAATAAAGTATCTAGATACATTTTTGGGTATCTAGTATCTGCATCTAGATAAAATCGAATTGAAGCACAAAATATCTGTATCTAGATACAAAATTAATGGCGCAGATACAGATACATTTTTTTATTTCACTTTTTTTCAGCAGTTCTTAGTTGAGCTATACTAATAGTAATTTTTGATAGTTCATGTTGGTGATTTTGGTCACATAAACAAAAATAGACCTAAGAGGTCCACTAATAGTGTTCTGTCACGGAAATTTTCATATTTTAAATTCCATCATTTCCTACATTGTAGCCTTCAGTACTTATACATCTTTAAATATAATCCTGAGGGGTAATAAATCTAAGCTATGGTAAGATGGTATTTTAAAAACCATAAACCACAATTCACTATTCACTGCGTTTTACGCTTATCGGGGCAATGCATTTTATCTGTGTACCTGAGCAACCCGTGTCCGGTAGGCCCGCTGGTTGTATTTGTGTTATTAAATAAGAGTAATTTTAATAGTAAAAATATTTGTTTAAGGTAT